TGCCCGCTTCTAGACTCTCGGGAACTCAAGTATAGGGCCACAGGCAGAAAAGTGTTATGTTATGCTACGGGAGCAGGAAAGCTAATCAACAATTCCAGATTACTTATACTCTCATGCAGACATGTGCTTGCACAAGCGACGACCAGTCCGAAACTGTCTGCCGCATTGTCCCACCTGAATGACACGCCTCGTCACCAGATATCGCTCGCGCATGCTACCACAACATCCTCTCCTTTTTATTTAAACAAACTGAAATCGTACATCCTGTTGTTTACAAAACTGTGGGTAAGACGCGCTCGACCGTCGCGGAGAGAATGTTCACTGCGGAACATAATCTTTCATGCGTACGGGTGGTTTCCGCTCTCTTGTCGGTCTTTGCCGACTGATTCCTGTCTATCGTCCCGCTGGTTCTCTGCAACGTTCTCTTCGGGTTCGGGTGGCCCATCGCAGTTTACAACCGCATCGTCATCGTTCCCCGCCTCCTCGCGGCTTGGTACAAACACAGATTCGTTAACGTCGCTATGCGTGCTTTGCGCTTGGCGGTATGGTGCTGGGATGAGATGCCATCTGTTTCGACGAACCACACTTTTCGATGTTCCTATCCAGTAAGAGTTCGGGAGAGACCCTATCTCCACGACTGTGCCGCAAACCCTTAAATCGGTCACCGATACGGGATCGCCGACTTCCAGCGCAGACAAATTCTTCGATCCATGCCTCCTGTTCTAATTCCCGGCTTGCTTCTCCTTGCCTGCCATTTCCCTCTTAACGACCTCCTCGTGCATCCGGAACGATCCCAACTGATCAGGAACAACAGGCAGCGAAGAGCGGATTTTCCGTGAGAACATGAGCTCGGCCGGGGAAAATCCATTCTCAAGAGGTGTCGTCCGATACGCCAGAAGGCCTAAGTTTATGTCGTCTGACTTTTTCAAAATGTTTTTAGCAATTTTCACCGCCGCTTCGATACATCCGTTGCTCTGCGGGTAATGCGGCGAACTTGGTACGTGCCTGAAATCGTAACTGCTTGCAAACTTCTTAAATTCCGATGCGAACTGTAGGCCGTTGTCGCTACGAACGACTTCCGGTATCCCGAACCGCGCGAAAATCATTTTACAAAATCTTATTATATCTAACTCTGTCATTGATTTTAGGCTTTGGACCTCTATATATCGAGTATAGTAGTCTGTCAAGATCAGGTACCATTGATTATGATTGAATAAATCTGTGGAGACCCTTTGCCACGGACGGCTCGGGAACTCCTCTGACACGAACCTTTCTTTGTGATTAGTTCTTTCTTCTCCACACCGCGGACAGTTTTCAATCAAATTTTTTGACTGTGTACTGAGCCCTAGCCACCAAACGGATTGCTTGGCTCTTTCGCGACATTTACCCATGCCTAAGTGGCCTTGATGGACTTTGTTAATGATGTCTAACTGAAGCGACGGAGGTATAACAAGCCTTGAATTGTACAATACATAACCCTCCGCGTAAGAGACGTTCTCTTTGAACGGATAATAGGGACGTAGCTCATTTGACAATTTGCCGCGCTCTGGCCATCCATGCATACAATACTTCTTAAGCGATTTACAAACATGATCGCATTCTTGCTCGGTTTTGATTCTTTCCAGCATGCACTCCGTGGCAGGTAAGGAATCGACTACTACTTTTACATGCAGTTCCGTTTCGCGTTCTAAGCTATCACCGTCGGCATCCCAACTCGACTTTACGTTTCTCGATAACGAATTGGCTAGGACCAGCATTTTGTCTGGAACATATGTCACATCGTAGTTAAAACGCATCATACAAATTCTAATCCGCTGCAGTCTCGGTGTGAGCTCGTCTATCGGCTTTGTTTGTAGGATTTGCACGAGGGGCTTGTGATCAGTTTCTAGTGTGACATGTATCCCAGTTACATAGTCTTTGAACCTCTCTGCCGTAAATGCCAGACTAAGGGCCGCTTTTTCTATCTGGCTGTAACGCCGTTCGGTTTGTGATAACGATCGTGCCGCATATGCTACAATTCGCAACCGTGTACCTGCATGAGAGCTCCGCCGAGTCCGAAACTCGAAGCGTCGGCCTGCACCATCGTTGACTTCTCGGGATCATACAACGACAAGGTGGGTGCCTCCAAAACGGCTTTCTTCGCGGCTACGAATGCTTTTTCCTGCGCGTCAAACCATGTGAATCTAGCTCCGTTTTGCAGAAGCGCGTTCAGGGGCTCTAGCACTCCGGACTTGTTGGGAATGTATTTGCCCGCGAAGTTCACGATACCCAGAAACTGATGCAAAGAGTCGATATTTTCGGAACGCGGGAACTCTACGATCGCGCGAACCCTATTCGGGTGCACGCTTACGCCCTTCTCGGACACAATATGCCCCAAAAACTCTATTTGTGTTACCCCGAACACGCACTTATCTCTGTTCAAGGTGACGCCGGCCTTTGTAAGGCGATCTAATACTAACCTTACGGTTTGGTCGTGTTGTTCTAACGTTTTAGCGAATACCAACACATCATCCACGTGCACGATCACATTTTTGATGCCTCTTAAAATTTCTGAGAATAAACGCGAGAAGTAATCCGACGCGCAGTTTACGCCAAAAGGCAGACGTCTCTGTTTGAAACGCCTGAATGGCATCATGATCGTAGTCAATAGCTGACTTCTTTCTGACAATTTAATTTGGTGATAGAACGAGTTAGCATCTAAACGAGAAAAGAATCTCGCGTTTTTTAACTTAGCGAGAGAAACATCTATTTTTGGAAGCGGGTTTACCGGCTGTAAAACGCTTTTATTCAACTGCGTGAAATCGCCACATATACGAATGTCTTTCCCATTAGCTTTTGGTACGCACACCATTGGACTACACCATTCGGTTGGTTCGTTTACGGGTGCTATCACGTCTAACCTTATTAACCGGTCCAACTCGTCTCTAATCTTATCTAACAGCGGAATCGGCACAGTCCTCGGTGCGGATAGGGCGAAGGGCTTTGCGTTGTCCTTCAACTGAATTTCTAATTCTTCTTTAAACGTTCTAATTCCCGAGAATATTTCTGGAAACTCCGACTCTACATTTACCCTCGAACGAGCTTCCGGATGGAACTTTGTTAGCGTTTCTATTTTATTCACGCGTACCAACAACCCAAACTCTTCGATAGCATCTCTACTGAGGATGCATGTCCTTATGCCTTTGACGACATAACCTTTTATTTTAGATTGGCGGTCCTTATAACCGATATTCCACGTCACCGTGCCTGCCACGTTTAGTTTCTTACCATCCGGGCCATGTATCGGTTTCTCTGCATGCGACAGTGTTCTGCAATGCCGCTCCGGTACGCACTGCCACGGTATGCAGGTTACATCGGCCCCATTGTCTAAGAAAAAGTCCAGTTCCTTGTTAAGTTCGCTGACGAAAAACGACGCATAATATTTCTCAGCTTTTCTGTTTTTATAACCCACAGAGCTTAA